CCTTCTTTTTTTTTTTTTTTGGCACAAGAAAAGTTCCCTTTGGCACAGGGGAAAACTTAGAGCTGAGGGAGAGTGGCGTGTTGGAGGATTAACTGGGGATTTTTTTCCCTCTCCATGCTGAAGTCTGTTCTTTCTTCCCTCAGTCCACTGTCTTTGTCCTGCTTTTTAATACCCCAGATACTGTTCAATACAGTCTGTAGTATGTTTTTATGCTTTCAGTTATTTTTTCCCTAAATTCCTCTGCTGGTGTACTTCAGCATTGGCCAGCTGAAATCAGTGGCTCTGTCTTGACTCATACAAGCACAGCATCAGAACCTTTCCCTATGTGTCAAAGAATGGCCTGATCACTGATTAGGAAGGAGGACTGACACTCAGCAGTCTTGTGCTGCGTCGTGTATGCCATAAATTTAAAACTGGGTCTCTATGTATCCTTCAAGAGCTGTCGGTGTGAAGCAGTGAGGAAACGAGTGGCAATACTTACCCCCATTCGCTTTGAAACCAGGAACTGAGAGCAAGAAGGATGCCCTTGCATGCTTTCAGCGATGTACTGCTCAAGAGTACCTCTGAGCTCTGTGTTGCTACCAGGGAGCTGAAGTTTTTGCTCAATTGACTCTTGAGTGCACGTTCAGTGTTCAGGAATGGAAGTTTCCAGTCTGATCATTTTTGATGTGTTATACCCTAGCAGAACAAAGGAATAGTTTGTCAGGAGTGGGGTGGCTAGTGGATGAGTTGTTCACTACTCCCTGTGCTTAGCTGGCACATGGCCTTAGAGTAGAACAGTGCAGTCGTGACCTATTTGGCAAGACCATCCAAATTCCCCTGCTGCACTCTTTTGTCATAAGGTTTCTTATTTTCCTTTGGTAATAGAAAAGCCAGCGGAGTAGTGAAGGGACGCGAAGTCCATCTGGTGGAATAATGGGGCTTCAGCACTTGGGAGCAAGTGTTTTCCTTAGGTGATGATTTCTTCTTCCCCTAATTTGGGCTTATGTCTCCCTGTCTTTAACCATCTCTTACTAAGTGACCTGAATCTCAAGGAGGGCTTGCTTGGAATAGTCTGTTCGTCTCTCAAAAAGCCCAGAAATGAGTATATTGCCAAACTGCTGATATCATTGTCATTATTCCAAAAGGAAAGTGTATGATAATAAATAATGAAGAGAGTCTATTGTATTTTTTTTTAATAATTACACAAAGGTAAAAAATTCTGGTTTTGGCTTCTCTCTCCCCTCGCATAAATATGTATTATAGCAAGGAAAAGTAGCATTACCATGTACTACTATTGCTTCTGCATCACCTAAGTAGTGTAGGTCAGTGTTAGGTTCCTTGGTCTTTTTATTATCCCTACTCCGATTCCTCCGTTCCCTCTCTTACGCAGGGTATAATGAGCAAGATTATTGATGTTTTGGGAATGCCAGAATGAAAGGCAGCTAGTTTCTCTCAGAAACAATGTGGATGACCAGCTTTCCTTCATTGCCAGCCAGAAGTCGTTCTACAGAATTCAACTTGTTGTATTTATAGGCCTGTTCCGGCAGATCCTATTGTACTTCTAGATCCTGTTGTAGCTGTGACTGCAGAAACAGCTACTTCTATGCAAGTGTGCAGCAGTGGGGGAAATAGTATCGAGCTCTAACACTGCTGTAAGGTCTGGACCACCACTTAGCTGGTTGTTTGCCAATTAATGGATTTGGCTATACATATCTCTGTTCTGTATGTGTCTGTGAGCCGAGCTTTCACTAAAGAAAAGCCTGTCTTTCACTAACAGAAAGAGACTAGCATTTCTATGTTATTTGTGGTTATAGCAATGTTACGTCAGGGTAAGTGAAGTAAGAATCAACTTGCATATGTCCCTCTGGAGATAGATGCATCACAGAGGTCCTCAGGGAGTTCTGTTATATCATCCGTCTCTTACCAGCCCTAGGGAACTGAGTACTTGCTATTCACAGGTTTCCATGTGTTAGTGGCTTGGCTTGCAGGCAGTAGCTTCAACAAGTGAGTGAGATATTGGCCAGGTCTAACAATACATTTAAAAGCATATGCTTGACGTTAAGTATTCTGATAGACACACTGTAGGCCTGAAATGGTGTTTAGTCTCTTTCCAGAAGTTGGTAGAACCATCATCTGCTTAGATTGCAGCATGTGTTCAAAGTGCTTTGCTTCCCTAGGTCTCATGGTGCCGCAAGATTGAGAACCAAAGTCCTAAAACAAGTCCTTAGACATTAACACCTTGGATTTAATAAAATGGATGATTCTTTCAATGGTAAATATTTTCACTGAGATAAAACAAGCTTTTTTAAAAGAGAAAATCAGAATGAAGGGGGGAAAAGATTTCTCAGCTGTTTAACCTCTTCATTTGCTAGTTAAAGGAACATGTCATTTTACTTGATGCAACGTTTTTTTCCCTCTTATTTATCATGGATTATTATTCTGCTCTAGCTCATAGATAACAGACCCTTTTCAACGCTGTAATCAATCTGATAGTGCCATAAATACATGGCTTAAGTTCCATAAATTGGCGCTAGCAGCAAGTAAGACATATTGATGAATGAACTTACATTTTATTTCAGTGTTTAATTGTATTGTAAAGAATTGTGGACAAAGTTGCTTTCTTTAATATATTTCTGCTCATACATTTTCTTAGAATATATTTCTGCTTATATCAGTTTGTATATGGTTTTATACGTAGTGTTAAACTAAAATTATATAGATGTTAGAAGTATAAAGTCAGAAGTATAATTTTTAATGTCTCAAGTACTGAATGACATACAGACAAAAAAATTGCATTACAAATAAGGCAATTTCTGTTTTGGTAATAAAAAAAAAGTCATTCTATCTCAGGCAGACTAGGGTAGGATGATAAACTAGGAGCCATAAACTGTCTCTGTAATGCTTAATTGCACATTGTTAAGCATCGTAGTCCACAGATGAGTACTAATCCCTGAAATGTAGCCAAATTACAAAACCTGACAAGGACAAGTGGAGCTCTGGCAGGGGAAAAGACATGGAGTTATGTTTTCAGCAGCAATACGTGCCAATTTGTTTCTCTTCCCATTGAAGACAGGAGAGATTGTTCCCTTTCATGCAGCGTGGTAAAAAGTCATGATATTTTTACATAGGTGTTCCAGAAATTGGTTTGGTCTTCAGGGTGGCAGAGTTACATTGCTTACACAGGTCTTGTCTTACGTCTCAGTCTAGTGCTAGGTCTAGGTTTCTGTCTGCAGAATCTTTACTTAAGTTGTCACACATGCCTGTGACAAGGAGGACACTGGATGCGGCAGACCTTGGGTTTGACCCCGGTGGCATTTTCATGTTTGAATCCTATCTACTCTTTAATGTTTCCCTTTCAGATTAATTTTTGTCTAAATCTGACTAGCACTACCGGCTCCCCATGATTTTAACCTCTAGGTCTTTCTGTAGTTCAGTAACGGTTGTTAACCCCTGCAAACTGAGATCTGGAGAAGAGTTGTAAGATGGAATTGTAAGGACCTTCTGGAAACTTAGTGGCTCTGATCTTCTGCAAACGCATGCATGAGTCTCCTTAGGACGTTAACAGTAACATGGTTTCCGTGCAGTCATCCATGTGAGTTTGCAAAGTGAGAGGCTTAATTAACACGTCTATTAAGAAAATGGCAAGAAAGTCAGTACATACAAGAAATAAACTGCAGAAGTGTTTCCAGTATTATTTACCTTTCCACAGTCAATATACATTCGTGCAGTTGTTCTTTATTGATGGTTTTGCCCTTTCCTTTAGATTGAATTCTCTTGAATTCATTTTAATAATCTTAGGAAATACTGTATGCAACTGTATGTAATCTATATATTCATCCCTCTTTATCATCCATCTAGGCTTTACCAGTACTTAAGAACATGTATTTTCAACCTAATATTGTTCTTTCTTTAGGTTCCAGGACCAAGGAAGGAGTTGTTCAGGGTGTCACAACAGGTAAGACAATTTTCTTTTAATTTCAACCGCCTCCCTACGTTTGATTAACCAATCATTTAGCTGTTAAAAATTCTGTGTATTTTTTTGAGAGCACTCCAATTTATGAATGATAGAAAAACACAGAAAAATTTAGAGGCGGAAAGCAACATTCTTTTTGTCAAAATTCATACACTGTTTTACAATCAAATATATAAATTTAATATAGTTGTTTCTATGTGAGAAGGGTTTTTTGAGGGGTGTTCTGAATCAAAGTCAAGCTGTGTTAGTACGAGCTAGGAGACTGATGAAACCAGATTCCTAAACAGAAGGAAATAACTTGCTTTTGTAGAAATAGATAAATCAAGGGTCTTTCTGTTGTTTTTTTATTGCCAAAGGTGAAATATTCTGTGCTGGAAAGTTATAAACTAGTTGGCGTAAAAAAGTAAGTATCTTTCTTAATTTTTTTTTTTTTTGCTATGAAGAGCTTCGACCTATGGAAACAGAAAGCCTGGCTTGGGCGCCCACGTTTGTCTCCTTGGGATCTGAGGAGGCAGAAAAATGGGATCTGGAGGTGGGAGTGAAGGGGAGGAATGCCTGGAGGAGGACTGTGGAAGGCAAAGTGGGGAGGGACTTGGGCATGTGTCGGGAGGACTTTTAATCTGCCGATTTAGGAGCTCGTGGTCGGACAGGGCCGATGCTAGGGACAGGAATTACCGCAACAAATGAAGGAGGGAAAATAATGTAGGAGCCTCCTTCGTACAGTAGGGACTGTAAGAGCTAGGTAGAAAGGAAGAACCACAGGGCGTGTTTGCAGTTAAGGCAAATGAGGTCAGCAGCGTCTCCACACGTTGGTCTTTTCGACTGTCCGCAGCGAAGCTGGGATGCAGCAAAATGGA